GGAGAAACAGAACGAGCCGACGCTTACTTAGAAAATAATGAACAAGTAAAGAAAATAATTGCGGAATGCCGTAATGAGTTAACTCAAATAGAACAACAATTACAAGTAAATCAAGTAGAACAATAATATGACAACTTTACAAGATTACTTAAACGAAAAATATCCAACTTTGGAAGCAAAAGGGGAAGTCCAAGAGCTTATTTTGACCTCCATTACTGAAACTTTGGCAGGAGGAGAATTGAATTTAACCGCTTTTTCTAACCTGGAAAAAGTAGAAATTAGCCCGCAATTTTTATCTACTCCTCTTACTAAAATAATTACCCAAGGCTTGACTAAATTAAAAGAAATCATTTGAGAACAGGCGGAGGAGGAAACCGAAGAAGATAAAAAATTGTGAGAAGAGTTGGGAATTGGCAGTGATATTATTAAGAAAAAAGTAGTCCGAGAAGTTCAAAGATTAGCCAAAATTAAGTCAGTTCAAGTTCAATTTGGAGAACCCAGCGAAACCCAAGAAAGCGTTATTTTTCTCAACCTGGACCAAAAAGATAAAGCGGGGAATTTTTGCCCGCAATTAGTTTTCTGAACTTTGGCTCAAGAATTAACAACTCTTAATTTTCCCCTCTCCGACCCATCATTTTGAACGCATTTTGGCGAAGAATTAAATTGGGTTAAGGATAATTTACCAGCCCCTTACCAATTGGATTTAACTTTATTACTAAATCCTTCCACTTTCCCATATCCTGAATTAGAAAGTAGTCTATTATCTATTTACTTCCCCACTAATCAAGACATTACAGACGGTCAAATGATAAAAACGACCGTGAGTGAAAAAATAATTGATAAAACTTGATCTGAAATCCGACAAAAATTAATCGAATTAGTCAGTCAAGAGTTAGCCAATAACCCGGAAATGCGAAGTATTGAAAATACAAGCATTGTCGAAGACCAAAGTAAAGAAAACTTGGCTTTTAAAGCCACTATTGATTATCAAAATGGCGAATATATTATCCAAGTCCAATATCATTCTCAAAGTCCTTTTAGTAAAGAAATCTCTGAGTTAGTTATAGTTGCCCCTTTGCGGTTTGAGATTGAAAATTTGAAACAGAAGCAGGAGCAATTGCCTACTTCGGAAAACTTTGAAAAACTAACTAAGCAAAATCAATTATGAGATAATTATCTCCAAGATTTCACTGATAAAGAAAAATACCAAGAAATCAAAGATAAAATTAATAAGATTTAGTTATGACAGCCCAAGAATATTTAGAAAAAAATTGAGATAAAGATATTACTCAAATCAGTGCCGAGAACCAAAAATTAACTGGGGACTTGATCGTT